CCCAGTCTAACAGAGGATTTTTGTTTTCTTTATGTTGGGGTATACTCATACAGAAGGCTGTAGTCTTTGATCTATATCAGTAAGTGTTTTAAGTCTTCTGTGCTTTCAGCAAGCAAGGCTGTGTCATCTGCATACTGGAGGTTGTTAATGAGCCCTCCTTTAATCCTGATGCCATGTTCTTCTTCATATAGTGCAGTTTCTCAGACTATGTGCTCAGTATACAGACTGAATAAGTATAATAAGTATGGTAGAAGGGTGTAACTGTGATGAACACCTTTCCTGATTTTAAACCACATATTTACTAGCCCTCTCTTCTGTTTGAACAAATGACTCTCAGTCTATGTACAGATTCCTCATCAGCACAATTAAGTGTTCTAGAATTCCCATTCTTCAAAATGTTATCCACAATTTGTTATGATATATACAAATAGCTTTGCATAGTCTTTCTGGTATTCTCTGCTTTCAGCCAAGATCCGTGTCATGTCAGCAGTGATATTCCTCATTTCACATCCTCTTCTCAGTCCAGCTTGAATTTCTTGGCAGTTCCCTATTGATGTACTGCTGCAACCATTTTTGAATTACCTTCAGCAAAAATTTACTTACATGTAATATTAATGACATTGTTTAGTAATTTCTGCATCCTGTTGGATATTTCTTTGGAATAAACACAAACATCTCTTCTAGCCAGGTAGCTGTCTTCCAAATTTCTTGGTATACACAAGTGAGCTTCTAGTATTGCATCCATTTGTTGAAACATCTCAACTGACATTCCGTCAATTCCTGGTGCCTCGTTTTTCACCAGTTCCTTCAGTGCAGCTTGGCCTTCTTCCTTCAGTGCCATTGTTCTTGAACATATGCCACCTCCTGAAACAGTTGAATGTCAACCAATTCTTTTTGGTACAGTGACTTTTTTGTATTTTCATTTTCTTTCGATGCTTCCTACATCATTCAATATTTTGCCCGTAGAATTCTTCAATATTCCAACTTGAGCTTGTAGTTTTTCATCTTTCACCTTGAGAAACACCCAGTGTGTTCTTCTCTCCTGGCTTTCTCTTAGTCTCTGC